CTGGTGGGACTTGTGCAGGAGGGGACTCGGGATGGAAGGGTGTGTCGCAGCAGCGTTGGTGCACCTTGGGTCGCCTCCGCCGCCTCATCCTCCCTCCTCCCCCTCCGCATGGCACAACATGTAAGGGGAGGGATGGACATAAAGTCCACACGGCGAGGAATCCCTGGCCAAGCATTGGAACGGCAGGAATTTGATTGAATTTGCCTTTTTACCGCGCATCAGCACCACCACCACCATCATGATCATCATCATCATCATCATCAGCAGCAGCAGCAGCAGCAGCAGCAACAGCATCATCAGCAGCATCATCACCGTCACCATCGTCATCACAGTCCTCATCGTATGCACCATCACCACCACCACCACCACCATCATCATCTTTGTCATCATCATGGTCGTCGTCGTCATCATCAGCAACATCATCATCAGCATGATCAACATCATCAGCAGCAGCAGCATCAGCCTCACCACTATCAGCATCATCGCCATCATCTTCGTCATCGTCATCATAATCATCGTCAGCATCAGCAGACCCCTCATCATGAGCAGCAGCATCATCATTATCCTCATCATCAATATCATCGCCGTCATCATTATCATCATTAGCAGTAGCAGCAACCTCAGCATCACCATCAGCATCAGCATCACCATCAGCAGCAGCATCATCAGCATCATCATCACCATGACCATCACCATCACTATCACTAGAACCACCACCATCATCACCACCACCACCACCACCATCCCCGCGGCAGTCCCTGCCTCGCTCGAGGCCCCTTCCCGCGAGCAGGGTCATGGGCGGTCGTGCGCGGTGCCCGCCCGGCCGGGCGGCGGGCGCGCGATGGGCAGCGGGCCCGTTGGCCGGGCTCCTGGCACTCGCGGCGCGCCTGGCGCGGCCAGGCCCGCCGCCGCGCTCGGCGGCGTTCGCCGCCGGGGCCGCGGCCCACCAGCGCGCGGACGCCATCCTGGTCGGCGGAGAGAACCTGATTGACTTCATCCAGGCGACACCGTCGACTGCCCCCGGTCTGCCCGAGTATCGCGCAAACCCCGGAGGCTCGCCATACAACATGGCGAAGGCGTTGGCGAGGCAGCTAGGGGGGGAGGGCGGGGGGCCGCGGCCTGCAGTCGGCTACCTGACCCCGATCTCGAGCGACGACCTGGGGGAGCTGCTTGCGAGAGGCCTGTTGGAGGCAGGGGTGGAGCTCTTGGGGGCCAGGCGGGCTGAGCCCACCTCCCTGGCCATCGTGTCGCTTCGCGACGGCCAGCCCGCATATCAGTTCTACAGAGAGGGGACGGCCGAGCGCATGGTGACCCTCGACGCGCTGGAGAGCGCCAGCGGCGGCAGAGGCGTCGCGGCGATGCACCTCGGCTCCCTGGCGCTGACCGGCGGCGCGGACGCTGACGCTTGGGCGGAGTTCTATTGCAGGGTGAGCGAGGGCGGAGCGCTCGCCTCGCTCGACCCGAACATCCGCCCCGCTTTCATCGGGGACTGGTGAGGCTTCGGGCTGCGCACATGCAGCACCATCCAGGTGGTCCTGGCTGGCCTCAACGGGCCCGAGCACGGTGAGGCCATTGGTCGGCTACGCGTTAAGCGTGACCTTTCGCCGAAGTGACCTTTGGTGCGGGCCCAATGGTCCCCCCCGATCGCTGAATGCGATGCGATAGTAGCGGCTTGCGCGCCTGGCGGTGTCCCCAAAGGGCTCCCCTCTAGACCGCGCACGAAAAATTTCGCCCTTGCCTAGGGTCACTCCTGCGTGCAGCCGAATTGGATAAGGAACCACTGAATATGGAATCCAGGGACTGGAGACCTGGTGCAGCAAAATGATCCTGGCCCAAACCATATGCAGTTGTGGGTCATGCAGTTTGTGAGAGTCGTCTTCGGTGGCGCTCCCTATGGGGCCACGAAACGTGTGAGGGATGCGCCGACATTGTGCGTCCGGACGCATGTGGACACTGACTCTGAGGCCTTCGGTGGCGCTCTTCATGAAGCCTCCCACTGGGGCTTGCAGTGGAGCTCCCCGTGGGGCCACGAAACGCGTGAATGGTGTGCCGAAATTGGGCGGGGGGGCGCAGGCGGACCCTGCCACTGAGGCCCTCGGTGGAGCTCCCCATGGAGCCACGAACCGTGTGAGGGGGTTGCCGAAAGGGGGCCCGGGGACGCATGTCGACACTGCCACTGAGGCCATCGGTGGCACCCTCCCACGAGCGCCTTCGGAGGGTCTCCCTATGGGGTCACGAATAGTGTGAGGGTGTGCCGAGGAGGCGCATGTGGGCCCTGCCGTGGGGGCCTCCAGCGGAGCTCCCTGCGGAGCCACGAGGGGTGTGAGAGGCGTGCCGAAGTGGTCGACATGCGGAGGGCAGAGGCAAGGGGTGGTAGGAGGGGGGCGAGGGGGGGAGCGGGAGAAGGGGGAGGAGGAGACGAGGGGAGAAGGGGGAGGAGGAGACGAGGGGAGAAGGGGGAGGAGGAGACGAGGGGAGAAGGGGGAGAAGGGGAAGGGGGGAAGGGGAGACAAGGGATGGTAGGAGGGAGAAGGGGGAGGAGGAGACGAGGGGAGAAGGGGGAGGAGACCCGGGGCGTTGTCTCTTCAGAACGAAGCCCCAACACCACAGGACGGTTGGGAAAAAGGGATGTTGGCCGTGGGTATCACCGCCGCCCTCCTCAGATTCTAGATAAGGGATCCTCAAGGGTCTGAAGCCTCCTGGGCACATTCCTCTCTGGACGCCCCCCACTGTAGTCGCAGCTGGCCTCAGCGGACCCCCGAGTAGCCCGCGCAGTCTCAACATCTCAACCCTGGAGCGCGGAAGGCCTCAGGGGCGCCGCCAGAGGCGGTACCAGGGTGTTGAGATCGCCCCAGACTACGCGGGGGGCTTGTTGAGGCCAATTGGGTCTACTCAGGGGGCCTGTTGAGGCCAGCCAGGACTACCTGGGGGGCTCTCTGCGCGCAACCCGAAGCTTTACCATCGAGGACACCGACGAGTTCATGTCGCGACTGGACCGGGTGTTGCAGCGCACCGACGTGCTCAAGCTGTCTGACGAAGACCTGCAGTGGCTCGACCCCTCCGCGGCGGGCGACCAGCGCGCCGCTGCCGCGCGGCTGCTCGACCGGTCCAGCGCGCGGCTGCTGGTGGTGACGCGCGGTGCCGCCGGCGCGTTCGCGCTGCTGCGCAGCGGAGGCGAAAGTTTTGTGGAAGCTGCCCCCATGGAGGCCAGCAGCCTGGTGGACACGGTGGGTGCGGGCGGCGTGTTCTCTGCGACCTTGTCTTGCTCCTCCTTCTCCTTCTCCCCCTCCTCATCATCATCCTCCTCCTCCTCCTCGTCCTCCTCCTCATCCTCCTGTCTTCTTCCGTGGAGGCAACTCCTCCTGGGCATGAGGAACACCTCTCCTCATCCTCATTCCCGCTCACTCCCCCTCCTCTCCCTCGCCCCCTTGGAAAACGAGTCGCAGCTTCTGTGGGCGGACCAGCGCGTAGATTGCCAGCAGCGCACGGCGTGCGGACAGCATGCGGAATATCTGACAGTGCCCAATACGCCCTCCCCGACCCCCCTCCCGCCTCTCCAGAGGTGCGCTCTGTCCAGCGTTTCGATGGGAATCGGCCGTGTCGACGAGAAGCCCGCAACGAAGATTCCAAGAGGCCCAAAGGCCGCGCACCCGGAGCCTCCGTCCTGCCCCCGGTCGAAGGACGAAGACCCAGCGGCAGAGGGTGCTCCGCCTCGGAGGGCGCTTGTTCCAGGGCGGCCGGGGAAGCGCACACCCCAACGGCGCCAAGGGGGGGGGGGGCGCGAAGGAGTCAGGAGGAACAAAAAAAAAAAATACAGACACAATTGATCGTCGACTCCCCATAAACTATGGGAAAATATAGGAATTGGGGAGGGGAAGGACAAAAACACAGAAAATATTAGAAAATATGGGGAATCCTGTTATTTGTGTGTGTATTGATTTGTGTGTCCCAGGGCCCCTTCAAAGAGGTGCAGCCGCTCTGGGACTGACGCCCCCGCGCGGCGGGAGAAGGCGGCAGACGACAGGCGGTTCCGCCCAGTCCAAGATGCGCTCAGAGTCAATATCTGGACCCCTCTCGGGGTCCATCTTGTCCCGTTTTCCCGAGGCGTTTCCAGCCGTGGCGACGAGAGGCCCCCAGGAGGCCCCAGTAGGACGAAGAACGTCAGGGAGGGCCGCCGTTGTCTCGACTTGGCCCTCCTCGACTTGTTCTTCCGTCGACCCTCTCCCTGCCCTATCGATCTTCCTCCGCTGGCCCTCCCAAATAGCTCTTCGGTATTCTGCCTCTCTCCTCCTCCCTCCTCCTCTTACTCCTCCTCGTCCTCCCGTCCACCCTCCTCCGCCTCCTCCTCCTCCTCCTCCTCCTCCTCCTCCTCCTCCTCCTCCCTTCCCTCCTCCTCATCATCAGCATCAGCAGCAGCATCATCATTAGCAGCAGCATCATCATCATAATCTGCAGCAGCAGCATCATCATCATCGTCATCATCATCGTCATCCTCATCATCATCGGCAGCATCATCATCGTCGTCATCATCGTCATCGTCATCGTCATCATCGTCATCGTCATCGTCATCGTCATCGCCGTCCCCCTCCCCCTCTTCTGGGAGACCCACAGATCCTGATACCGCAACTCCCCAGACCTCTCCAGAAGTGCGTTCTGACCAGAATTGCGAGGCAAACTCAACCGTTGCGACGAGAGACGGGCAGCGGCATCGGTAGATCATCCTCTTTTGATCTTCCTCTTCATCCTCCTCCTCCTCCACCACCTTCTCCTCGTCCTCCCATCCACCCTCCTCCTCCCTCCTCCGCCTCCTCCTCCTCCTCCTGCTCCTCCTCTTGCTCGTCCTTTTCCTCCTCCTTCTCCTCCTCACTCCTCATCCTCCTCCTCGTCCTCCTCCTCCTCCTCCTCCTTATCCTCCTCCTCCTCCTCCTCCTGCTCCTCCTCCTCCTCCTCCTCCTCCTCCTCCTACTCACACTCCTACTCCCCCTCCTCCTACTCTTGCTCGTCCTTTTCCTCCTCCTCATCCTCCTCCTCCTCCTCGCTCCTCGCATGTCGCTCCTCGCTCCTCGCTCCTCCCTCCCTACCTCCCTCCTTCTCTTTCCTCCTCGACCCCCCCGCCTGGACACGGTGGGCGCTGGCGACACCTTCTCTGCGGCCCTCCTCGCGGGGCTGGCGGACTCCGGACGCCTGGACGCCAGGGCTGTCGGGGCCCTCTCGGCGGCGGATGTGGAAGGCCTCCTGCGGCGCGCGGCGCGGGCGGCGGCGCTGAATTGCCAGCGCGAGGGCTGCGACCCGCCAGGCCTCTGGGAGGGCGGCGGCGGCGGCGAGGAGGAGAAGAGGGCGGGAGAGGAGGAAGGGGAGAAGGAGGAAGGAAAATGAAAAAGAAGGAGGAGGAGGCGGAGAAGGAGAGGGTGAAGGAAAGGAGGGGCAGAAGGGGATATGATACAGGAGCGGAGGGAGTGGAAGCGGTGGAGGTGGAGAGAGAGGTCGGGAGGGAGGTAATGGCGACGATGATGATGATGATGATGATGATGATGATGATGATGATGATGATGATGATGATGATGATGATGGTGATGGTGATGATGATGATGATGCTGATGCTGATGCTGATGCTGATGCTGATGCTGATGCTGATGATGATGATGATGATGATGATGATGATGATGGTGGTGGTGGTGATGGTGGTGGTGAGGATGCTGATAATGATGATGCGGATGTTGTTGTTGATGTTGATGCTGATGATTATGCTGATGATGATTATGATGACGACGACGATGGTGACGAAGATGCTGCTGATGATGGTGACGATGATGATGCTGGTGATGATGATGATGAGGAGGAGAAGGAGGACCAGCGTAAACCAAAGATGCATGAACGATGCTGCAACCCGTCCCAAGCCCCCCCTTTCATACGCCCTTCTAAATTTTCCTTTTCACTACAAGAAGCGCCCCCCTTTGAAAGACCAGACAAGTCGGTCCGCCATGTTGGCGAGGGTCCCACTTTGAAAAGAAGATACCATGCATCCTTCTGGCGCGTAATCATGAACGTGAAAGACAATAACCATACAGTTCAACGGGGTATCCATCGAGATCCCCAGTTCGAAGAAGGACCACCCCCCACCCGTGCACCAATCGCACAATGTTACACTTGTTGCCAAAACGTTAGAGGAAGTCTCAAGCGGCTGCTCTATGTTGACAGAGAGCATCCATGTATCCGCGCAGCGCTACGTGCGTTGAAGTTCTGGGTCTTTAAGTTTAACGGAGTATCCAGCCAGAACTCCTCTTTGCAAAAAGAGTAGTCCTGCATCCTGCCAGATGTCGCATCACAAGACGAACGCACGCGGCGCTCAGGCGAGAGCCTTACTATGAAAACGACCAGTGCTCAATCCCTGAAGTTGTTGCACCAGTCTGAGACGAATGCGCGCGGCGCAGAGACGAGAGCACCATGCTGAAAACGACTTGCGCTCCATCCATGAACTTGTTGCAAACGTTGAAACCGAATGCGCACGGCGTTTAGGCGAGAGCCACATTTTGAAAACGACCAGTGCTCCATCCATGAAATTGCGTTTTGAGACCGGATACGCGCGGCGCTGTGGCGAGAGCCACGTTTTGAAAACGGCCCTTTCCATCCGTGAACGGTTGTGTTCAAATTGAACCATGAACGGAACGGAAGTTTCAGGCGAAACGCCCGATTTGCCCTACCAGCACGCTTGGGGGTGCGACAGGGAAGCGTTACGTTTAAGAAAAGGGATGGAGAAGGGAGGGGGGGAGGAGGTGGAGGGGAGGAGCAGCAGCACCATAGGAGGAGGAGGAGGAGGAGGAGGAGGAGGACGGCATTTAGGGTTTCGGGGACTGTAGCCTTGTTGGCTCAAGTCTGTGGCGCTTCGCTCAGAGACTTCGAGTTGATGGCACTGGGGATAGACGGCCCCGACCGCTCTCTGCACTGCCTTTGTTCTGTAAGCTCCTACACCTGCACATCTTGGGCCCTTGCGGCCAGATGGGTACGGGTTCTAGGGTTTCTCCACGCACTAAACAGTTTGGTCACCGTTACAATTATGAGGGGCGCACGTCTTGCAGGATGCGAGGCTACACGCCGAAGAAGCTTGTCGTCATGGAGGTCCTTGCGCCCAGAGGCAATTGGGTCAGCGGCCTCCGCACAACTTCGCTGGGCCTTCATCTCTCAACGACGAGGAGCTCGCGGCCTACGCCGCCTTGCCCGTGCCACAATTCGACCTCATTGCGGCCGATTGGAACCCGCGGGTTGTTGGGCGTGTCAGGGCGGCGCGCGCGGTCAAGAACGGCGATCCCCAGGCTTGCGCCAAGCGTGCTCGTGTCGAACAAGACCATATGCAACAGAAGCTGGGCAGAGCCAAAGCCATGCACGACCGCGCGATGGGGGCGATGGCTGAGGCGGCCAAAGCCCTTCACGCGGCCAAGGCCGAGCTGGCCGAGGTGCGCGCGGCGGCCGAGAGGGCTGCTGACGCCCAAGCCGCTCGCGCCTACCAGACCCTGGCACCAGGTGGGGATGAGGCCGCCATCCATGCCTGGGCCAAGTCGCTCCGCGAGAAAGAAGAGCCGACCGACCCAGCTGCCAAGGCGCGCTACGACCTGACCTGCAGCAGGCATGGGCGGGGTCTGCTCGTCCCCTGGCGTGAACATATGAGTGCAATGCGTCGGCTCCCTAACGAAACGAGAAGCAGTCCTAGACTTCCACGCAGCACTCGTCGTTGCTCTGTACCTAGCCTGCAGCAAGTTGGCATGATCCCTCGCCCCTTCCAGAAACCCCAACGCCCCCGCACCACCGCCCCTGACAAGCGCGACCAAAGAGGCAGTGAAATGACGTGCATGTACTACTGGGAGGCCGCGCACAAGCCACTGAACAGAAATGGGATTGCAAGTGAGAGCCTGCTTCCTGCACGCAGCCAAGCTACTGAGGTCCTTCTCACGCATGCTGTAGACGATGGCGTGGAAGCGCATGAAGCCCGACAGGAATGATGACCAGGTGCGACATCCCGACAACGGCTACCCCCTGGCATCCGGCCTCCAAGCACTCTCGAAGGGCACGCTCTCAACTCGCAGTCCTCGGCTGCGCCCACTCCACCTGCGTGGACACACATGCAGAGTGCCATGCAACTCGATGTGGTCTCCACATTGTCAAGCAAGCACTGACACGCCTCACCTTAGTTAATTGGTGGCTGCCCAAGCTCCCAGTTCCACTCAGCAGGACGTGCTTCCATCGGGATCGGCCTAACTACGAGGGGCTTCTCGATGGGAAACTCCTTGGGGTACACCGCACGCGTGACTTTGACGCCCCTTGTGCAATCCTGCGATGGTGATCGCCAGCGGCGTGTGCGTCTTGGCGGTAGACCCTGTAATCACGGCAACCTGCGAGACAAAGGGAGCAAATGCGTTCAAAGTTATAGCGAAGTCAATCTCGCGCCCGGCACACGTCGCATCTTGTGCTGGCAAGGTGCGTCATTTAGCGTGCCTCTCCCACGTCTCCAAGTCACATGTCAGCATGTTCCAGTCGCCTGCGATGAGCCATGAGCCTTTGAGATTCCGACATAGGACATGATGGCTTCCAAGAAATCGAGAGTCCCGCCTGTGAAGACGATGCTGGTGGCGAGGTACATTGAACAGATGTAGGGCGGAAGCGCCAGGCCAATGTTGAGGCAATTGGTTAAAAATCAATGTGGGGGTAGATTCGCGTCTGGTGGTTTCGGAGCCAGGGATCCCGTTATCCTCGATTGGATTGTGCATCCGTTGTTGCTTGGTGGGATCTTATCATGATGCACACATGTGTCTGTTGACCATTCGCTTGCAGTTCGAAGCTTGCCCTGAGTTTTGATTCGACGCTCTTGGATGCATACGATATGCGGCAACACGTGGCCCGAAACATGATGCGCCCATTCTAGTAGGGTCTGTGCTGAAGCCCACGGGTTGGTATTGCTAGACCAAACCACCAGCTTGTCACAGTCTGAATCAACTGATGTCGTGTCACACTCTCGGCTTCTTTCTGGGCTTCTGGAGGCCTGCAACAAAACGCGTGATGCCAGCCTTGCCGTCTGCGAAGCCACTTGATGTGAAGTGCTCTTCCAAGTTTGGGTCGTCTGCATCCAGATCCATGCTAGTATCGGCCGCAGCTGAAGCGCCCCCCCTTGCAGCACTGCCAGCAGCGACGCCAGCAGCAGTGGCGTACCCGCCAGCATTGTTGGCCTTGGAGTCGTGGATTTGATCTCTGCAGCCGTGGTTGGGGCCTGGGTCGTGAACTCTTCCACCTTTAAGCCGAATAGTTTGGCCACTGGGCCGGGAGCTTGGAGAACATCTAAAGGAATTGCAGGTCCGAGGCGGGGTCCCCTTCCTCGTTCTGGCTGCCTACCTCGGGGAGGACAGCGCGGGCCTCCGCATGTTGTACGTGTTTCTCAATGTCGGCGAGGAACGCTTTGCGTCTGGCAAGGGTCTCGGGCTCGGCCTCGTGGGCTGCGAGAAGATCCTGGGCCGACTCAAGCTGGTTCCTGTTCGTCTTCTTGGCTTCTCGCTGCAACAAGTCTAGCAGACCATTGATGGAGAGCTCTGCGGAGGGGATCTGCAGCAGCTTCGGTCGCCGCCACGGTAGCCCGCACCTCTTCCAGAGCTCCAGCCTTGCCAGCACTGTCCATGCTGCGCTTGGCGAGAAGCCCGAGGAGAAGTTCATTAGAGATGAAGTCTGCTGAGGCGGCGGCACGACCTGGCCCAGATTCTCCATCTGCCCAGCGCTGACGCGAGCCAGGCCACCATGGCGCCCACGTAGAGCCGAGTGGTCCCCAATGCCATTGGCCTTGGACTTGCCGCGGGAATCCTGTTATGGGTTGTTTCTTCCGCTGGTTGAGCATGTATTGCTGCGCCTTGTTGCCACATGCCTTTCACTCTGAGCGGAAGCCGAAGTTCTGGAAGCGATATTCTTGATCTCTGCACATCCACACCTTGACGTGTGCCTGAGCATCGCCGCCGCCTCCTGCCATGTAGAAAGGTGAAGGCCCTGCACCCATGTAGACAGTTGAAGGCTCTGCACCGCTGCGCCAGGGGGAGAAGGAGGGGCGGAGGAGGGTGTTGCGACCCGACAGGGCGCGCGGAGCTCGAGGCCGCGATGGCGGAGCCCTGGCGGTGACAGCGCGGACGGCCCTTGGCGTAGGGTACTTGCGAGCGTCCCCACCTCCTCCCCCAGATCGCCAATTCCCCATCATCATCATCATCATCATCATCATCATCATCATCATCATCATCATCATCATCATCATCATCAACAACCTCATCATCATCAGCATCATCAGCATCAGCATCAGCATCAGCATCAGCATCAGCAGCATCATCATCCTCCTCGTCGTTGCCGTCGTCGTCAGCATCATCATCAGCAGCATCATCATCATCAACAGCGTCATCGTCAGTATCATCACCACCATCAGCATCACAATCATCACTGTCATCGTCATTGGCATCGTCATCGGCATCATCACCATCCTCGTCCGCATCATCATTATCATCAGCATCATCATTATCATAATGATGAGCATCGGTTTCGTCACCGTCGTCGTTATAATCACCCTCGTCATCATCACCACCATCATCAGCAGCAGCAGCATCGCCATCATCTGCATTATCATCATCATCATCATCATCATCATCATCATCATCATCATCATCATCATCATCATCATCATCCTCGTTCTTGTCGTCATCCGCATCATCATCACCGTCGTCATCACAATCATCGTCACCATCATCGTCATCCTCAGCGTCGTCAACCTCGTCATCATCATCGTCACCATCATCGTCATCCTCAGCGTCGTCATCACCTTCATCATCAGCAGCATCATCATCGTCGCCAGCAGCAGCAGCATCATGACAATTGCCGTCATCATCACCATCAGAAGCATCAGCATCATCATCATCATCAGCATCATCACCATCATCAGCAGCAGCAGCAGCTGCATCCTCGTTGTCATCATCAGTGTCCTCCTCCTGTTCCTCCTCCTCCTCATCAAGCCACATTCGCTGGTCCTGTGGGAGCCAGGTCCTAGAGTTTTCGCCGTTGTCGGCCTCCAGGGGCCCTCCCCGGGCCCTTGGACCAGCCAAGAAAGGAACAGGATGGAGAGCTGGCCTGGGGGGGGGAGGCCTCAGGGTCCAGGACCCGTTTGCTGAATGCCAATCCCCTTCGTCCGTCCTGCATTCTTCCTTCTCAAGGAGCTCCCCCTCGTCGTATTCGGCGTATCTGTAGGGCGGGCCGGGCGGGCGTTTCGCACGAGGTTGCCCAACAAGTTGTCACCCTGAGGCTTAACGGGAGCATCGCGTTCACTCTCTTTAATTGCTTTCGACAGCTCAAGGGTGGAGGTGGCTCGTTTTCAACATGGGGGCATCTTGCTTCAGGTGTCTTGGATTTCTATGACCACAGGTGAAGCATGTACGACGTTTTCACTGATGAGGGCCAGCTTCGTTTGGAAATGGGGCTGTCATTCGACACGCTGCGGCCAGAGCTCGCCAAAGTTATCGGATTACCGTGTTGTTCCCCCAGCCATTGTGTAAACATTTCGGGAACATGCGGGAGAGAAAGAAGAGAGGGAGGAAAAAACAGGAGGAGAAGGATGAGGCCTCTTGAGAGCCTCTTCGGACACTCTTGTGGCCTCCTAGGGGCCTCTTGGAGGCCTCTTGGGGGCTTCCTTGGGGGCCTTTGGAGGCTCCTTGGCGTCTTGCGGGCCTCTCTGGGCCGACTTGGGGGGGTGGGGGCCTTCTTGGGCCGCTTCAGGGTCGTCTTGGAGTCCATGTTTGGCGTCTTGGAGGTCTCATGGGCCGTCTTAGCGCCACCTTGGGGTCGTCTTGGGGGTCTCTTGGGCCGTCAGGGCGGGGCATCTCGGAGGCCTCTGGCGCGCTTTGGGGGCCATCATGGTGGCCTGTGGGGCAGTCTTGGGCAAACGCCGAAACTGAGCAAACGCCAAAATCTGTCAAACACCGATGCTGAAATCATTGATTGTGTCGTCTTCGGGCCTTCTAGAGGACCTCTTGAAGGCCTCTTGGGGGCCTCTTCGGCCGCCTTGAGCCACAGAGGCTGCAGATTGGGCCGCCTTGGATGCATCGTGCGGCTATCTTGAGCTCTCTTGGGGCCACGCTGTCCGTCTTGGAGGCCATATTGAGCGTCGTGGGTGGTTCTTGAGCTGTCTGTGGGCCGTCTTGGAGGCCTATTGGGCCGTCATGGCGTCATCTTGGAGGCGTCTTGAGTGATTGTTGTGCGGTCGTGGGAAAGTTTGGGCCGTCGGATGGCCAAGAAGGAGCAAATCTCACAACATTAAAATGCGAGAGGGAATTCAATGATTTTAGCTCCCCTGGGCCTTCCTGGAGGACCTCTTGGAAGCCTCTTGGACCTTCTTGGAGGCCTCTTGGAGGCCTCTTGGGCCGTCTTGGGCCATTTGAAGGCCAACTTAGGCTGTCTTGGCTGCATCTTGAGCCGTCGTGGAGACATGTTGCGGCCATCTTGGGCTCTCTTCGGGTCATATTGGCTCTTGGGCCGTCTTGCGGGCCCTTAATGGGCCTCTTGGGGCCGTCTTGGGGCAATCTTGGAGACCTCTTGGGCCCGTCTTGGAGCGTCGGAAGACCGAAAAGGCGAGAGAGCTAAAATCGGTAAAACAAAAAACATAGGAAAAGTATTGTTTTTGGCTTGGAGCCCTCTTAGGACGTCTGAGGGGCTCCTTTGGGGAAGTCTTGAGGATCTCTTAGGCTGTCTTGGGGCCATCTTGGACGTCTTGGAGGCGTTTGGGGACCGTGTTCGAGGCCATCTGGGGCTACCTTGGCCGTCTTGGATACATCTTAGAGGCCATATTGGCCGTCTTGGGATGTTTTTTGTGGGCTCTGAGGTCCTTCTGGGTGGCCGGCGGGTTGGGCCGAAGGTCCCCTCGAAATTTAAAAAGGAACCGGAAACTACCGAACATCTGGCATGCCGTGCACCGATGTGGCAAGCACAGGGGGCGGCGGGTTCTGTGGCCCTCGGCCCAGGTCAGAGACCTCCTGTATGTACATTGGGGACTCTTGGGGTGCCTCTCGGATGGGGCGGTTTGGTGGGGGCCTCTTGGGGCCTCCTGGACCCCTTGGGGTCTCTTGGGGCCTCTTGGGAGCTTCCTGGGGGCATCTCAGGGACCTCTTGGTGGTCTGCTGGCGATCTCGGGGGTCATTTGGGGGCGGAGTGCTCGAAATGTCAGTTAGTATTATTGTTCTTCTTCTTCTTGGATCGTTTCTGGGGCCCTCTTGGGTCGTTTTGTGGGTCCCTTGGCCGTCTTGGGGCCTCTTTGGGCCGTCGTGGGGCGATCTTGGTCGCCTCCTTAGGCCGTCTTGGAGCGTTGGAAGATCGAAAAGGCGAGGACGCTGAAATATGTACGAAACCAGTGGGAACTCATGTTTGTGCTGCCTCTTGAAGCCTTCTTTGGGCGTTTTAGGCGCCTCTTGGGCCGACTCGAAGCCATCTTGGGGGTCTTGGAACCCTCTTGGGCCGTCTCGTGTCTCAGTGGCCTCTTGGACCGTAGTAGGGCCCTCTTGGAACCATCTTGGCCCAGCTTGGGGCCATCAGGCCTTTGAACAAATCATACGGGAAGCCGATGTTCCTGCGGGGCACCCCAAAGTCACGCGAGCAACCCCATGAAGTTGAGAGATGATTCAAGTCTTCCACAGGACCTTGGAGGATTTGAGGACATCACATTTCGCGCCCAGTGGCACGGAGGCGGATATAGTGGAGGTGAACGGGATTTCGGGCAACCCGAAGTTGAGTATTGGCCGAGTGTTGTGAGTACAAGATGTTGTAGATGACCATTATCAAGAGTGGACCCGTCGATTGAAAGCCATATGATCCATCGTCGAACGTAGGGCATCAACGGCAGAAGCGTGGAACGGGGATTCCCGCTGAAGTGTCCGTCGGAGCACCGCGGGCCACACGAATTAAACGGATTTCAGCGGCGCAAATAGTGGAGTTGCGTATGAACGATTGTGAATACGGTGATGGTGATGGCACTGCAGAAGGTGACGCGAATGTTATTGTCGATGCGGACGTCGGAGGACTGTGATGATGATGACGGTGGCTGCGACGGTGACGGTGATGATGGATACCATGGTAATGAGGAGAAGGAGGATGACGATGGCGGTGATGATGGCTGCCGTGATAGACAGCCGATCTGGGCTAGAAAGTCCCTAACTTGCCCAGGAGGGCCGCAACGAGACCGCAGCAGGTCTCAGGAGGGCCCCAATACAGCCCAAGAGAGCTCCAAGACCCCCTTGAGGTTACTCCACTTGTCGGCCTTTCAAACCCCGCCGGCCCTCTGGGCGTAGGTGGTGTGTGGGAGCATCTCTTCCAAAGCCCCCTTCCCCCTCGGAGGTGGGTTCACCCCCCCGCTTTCCCAAGCACACCCATCCTGGGTCTGGACAAGGGGGGGTGGGGGGGCGCGAGGCATCAAGGCGTCCGAGACGGCCCCAGATGGCTCCAGGACAGCTGATAGCCCGGGATGGACCACGCCCGCGCGGGCGGCCCAAAGTGTGTTCATCCGCTGCACCTGCGGGCGCGCATGCGGTTGCGGTTGTGGGCGCCCCCGCGGCCCAAAATGTGTTGTTTGCTGGCGAGCGCGCAGTTGCGGGCCACATTGCGGGCGCTTGCGGCCAAGAATGCGCTGCCCGGCTACAGTTGCGGGTGCGGGTGCGGTTGTGGGTGACAGCAGCCCAAGTTGCCCTTTGTGCCACTGCGGGTGCGGGTGTGACTAAGGGCGTTGCAGCCCGAAATGTGTTGCCCAGTTGCGGGTGCGGTTGCGGGGGCCCGTGGCTCAAAATGTGTTGCCCGGTTGCGGGTGCAGTTGTGAGTTCACGCGGCCGAAGGACGGCCCGAGGCCAGGGGTTGACCGTAACGGCTCGTGCACCGACGCGTAGAGAGAGAGAGAGAGAGATAGAGAAAAAAGAGAGAGAGAGAGAGAGTGAGAGAGAGAGAGAGAACAAAAAAAGAGATGACATATAGAGATAGGTGCGCATGTCTATAAGGAGATAAATTTCAAATACGAAAGAAAGAAAAGGAGGGATCCTGATACGTGTCATGTATGTGTTGGTAAATATGTGTGTACTTGTATGGCCAGACATACGTATGTGATAGAGAGAGAAGGACAAGGACAGCGGGGTGGTTGTCCGACCATCAGGCGGCACAGGCAAGCGATGCTGGCTAGTTG